TAATCCCATTTCTCTTGGACTCCATTTAAATTGCTCCAGTCTGATAATGACTCCTCTACCCATATTCTAATTTTAGAAAAGTCTGCTTTTCTAAAGTCTAAAACTTTTGTTTTTGTGTGGTGTGACTCAGTCACTGTTCTTATATTAAACCACACTGACTGATGATCACTGGATCCTAAACTTTCACTTACAGTAATATCTGATACCAAATCTCCATTTGTTAACATGAAATCTAGTATGGCCTCTTTACGAGTTGGCTCCTCAACAACTTGTTTTAGAGACAATCCCAGTAGGGAGTTTAAAATATGTGTGCTCCTGGCACAAGTAGCTAATTTTGTTTTCCAATTTACATCAGGAAGATTAACGTCACCCATGATGATAACTTCCCCCTTCATTGTCATTTTAGCTATTTCCTCAACTAGTAGATTATCTAACTCTTCAATTTGTCCTGGTGGCTTATAAATCACACCTACACGAGTTACTGTGTGATTACCAAATTCTAACGTAACTCAAACGGACTCTATGTTTGCCTCACTAACTTTTATTAGGCTAGATTTTATGCTATCCTTAACATACAGGGCCATCCCTCCCCCTTTCTTGCCTTCCCTATCTTTTCTATATAAAGAGTACCCTGGTATTGCTATATCCCAGTCATTTTTATCATTATACCATGTCTCAGTAACAGCGACTAAATCTACACTATCAGTTGCCATTATTGCCACAAGTTCATGGATCTTATTCCCTAAACTGCGAGCATTTGTAGACATGACTCTAAGCTTATCATTTTTTAACACACTTGCTACAGGCACCTTCTGTCCTTGTTTTGGGAGACAATTGGATTGATGTTTTATCACCCTTTTGCCCCCCCCTCCTAGTTTAAATACATCCTAGCAAAACCTCTGAACTGCTCACTGAGAACATTTGTTCCCTTTTGAGAAAGATGCAAACCATCTTTTTTGTACTGCTTATTTCCATTCCAAACAGAGTTACCATGAGAATACATACGAATATGATACATACGAGATTAGCTATGGATGGCAAGTATTTCTGTGTGTTTTAACTACCGAACGGAGACCGACCGCAGGGCCAAAATACATGGAGCCTTTTTCGGATACTACCTCGTGTGCGGTCGGTCAAATTTCACCTTCCATCTAACTCCTGAACCCGTGGTCCGATTTGGGTGAATTTTGAATGTTATCCACCCACATCTGGGCTACAAGGGGGTACCCAATATATCAGTCTATCTGCCTGTTTTGGGGTGCATCCAGAAATCGGGGAAAACTACAGTATGTTTAATGGAATTATGTGTCACACTGAGGGGAGGAGATGTGTGGGAGGTAACTGTTACACTATTGGCTACAGTAATAATTACTGTGAATCCCTTCCTTGCATGGGAGAAAGCTTTAAAAGAAGGTTGTGTGATTAAAAGTTCAGTTCTGCTCCTGATGATGTGTGTCGTCCAGTCATCGGGATCTGTATGGGGATATTCGTGGATTACCTTGCTTGCTGTGATTATTATTCTATGGTATTTTATTACTTGTTCCTGAGCCTCACTGGGATCTTTAGTGGAGTTAACCTGTGAAAGACCAGCTCTCCGCTACATTGGTGGCAGCGGTGGGATCCAGACTCACAGAGGAACAAGTACCAATGGAGTACGGATGGAGATTGACTATTCTACACTAAAACGCGCCACGCTAAAAGATCTCATGGAAGCAAGGGGTATTCCAGCCAGCAATTAAACTAAAGCTGTTCTCATCGCTGAAGTCATGGCAGAATACCGAACAGATGGCAGTTCAGTTCCCGAACTGAGTCATTCAGCAGAAGGACAAGAACAAGCGGAGTTTCAAAGACAGCTACAATTTAGGTTGTCCTTTTAGCGGGAAAATCCACCGGCAGAGATTCTCTCCAGGACAACGACAGAAGTCCAGGAGTTTGTACTGTGGCAAAGGATAACGTCAACCCCAGAACGCAGCTCAGCAGTGACCATGGTACAAGAGGGTAAGCCAAAGATACCCTACCAAGCATTTAAAATGTATGTAGAAGCAGAGGAAGACATAGATGCCTTCCTCCAGGATTTTGAAAGACTGTGTGCCTTGCATAAGATCAGCTCAGAAGATTGGGTCCCCATTTCAGCTGGGCGACTAACCGGGAGAGCAGCAGAAGCTTACTGTACTGTACCCGATGAAGAAATCTGTGACTACAGTCAGGTAAAGGAAATTATATTGGCTCGGTATGCCTCTGGTGTGATGGCGGTTCAGGGAACTAAAGAAAGCAGAGAAAGATTCACATGCAGAGTGGGCTTGTATTCTACAGCGGGCAGCCCTCGGATGGGTACAGGCTAACAAAACACGGTCCATGGAGGACATATTACAAATGTTGCTGTTGGAACAATTCTATGATGGGGTACCAACAGATGTCCAGGAATGGGTAAGGGACCGCAACCCTACATCCCTCACGGAGGTAGCTAGGAAAGTAGATGACTACCTGGATGCTCGCAGGCAACAAAAACCTGTAGTCATTAAGACCGCAGTAAGACCCCTATGGGGGGTCAAGCTACCCCACCAACACAACAGCACTGCCCCGACAACAAACACCCCCACCAACCGCTGCCCAACCGAGGTTCCGCCAGCCTAGCTCTGTGCAATGTCACCAGTGCCAGAGGTGGGGACACTACAAGTGAGAATGTCCCCAACTCCGAGACCGATCCACCTGGATCCGACCAGGACCACCACCACCACAGAGAGCAGCAGCCCACTATTACCAGGACGAGATCACAACACCCTATGGCTCTGCAGTTCCACTCACCACCGTGGAACAGTGGGAAGTGCTGCACAAAGCAGATCCCTTACAGGCAAATGCAGATAACCGCCAGCATCACAGACAAACCGTCTACCTGGAGGGTAAAGCCGTACAAGGACTCCGCGACTCAGGAGCCACCATAACTCTAGTCAAAAGCCACCAAGTATCCGACAAAGCCAAGACCAGCAAGACTGTGGCCATCAGGGTAGCCGGGGAGCAGCATACCGGCTACCTACAGCAAGGGTGTACATTGGGGAGCGAGGTCAGGGAATGTGGAAGTGGGGTTGATGCCGCCATTGCCCACGGAGGTTTTGCTGGGGAATGATCTGGGAAGGCTCACTTCTGCTTTTGAGCCCCATGCCCCAACCACAGGAGACGTTCATCCCGTGGTCACCAGACAACAGGCCCGCACCCAGGACCACAGCACACTACCGGAGGTTCAGGTAAGAGATCCTTCCCCTTCCTTAGACTGTGTCCCCTGGGCCCCCCCTAACGAATTTGCAGCAGAGGTGATCACTGACCCTACCTTAATATATAGGGACAAGGTCGCATCTGACCAACCTGGGGGCGAGGGCGAGAGATTTATCTGGGATAAGCAGCTCTTATACAGGGAGTCAGACAAACAGATAGCCGGGTCAGACTCAATTGTTATGAGACAGCTAGTGGTGCCGCAGCGGTACCAAGCGGAGTTACTCCGGATAGCGCACAATATTGGGCTATCCGGACATTTGGGGGTCAGTCACACCAGGTACCGACTGACCCAAAGTTTCTTTTGGCCAGGAATCAGCCAGGAAGTCCGCAAGTATTGCAGTAGTTGCGATCCGTGCCAGAGGGTAGGGAAAAGGGGGGACCGGCGGAAGGCAAAATTGCACCCGCTACCCATAATTGAAGAACCTTTCAGTAGAATATCAGTGGATTTAATAGGCCTTCTTTGGAAACCTATATTTTAACTGTTGTAGACTATGCCACTAGATATCCAGAGGCGGTGGCTCTGACCAATATCCACACTGAAACGGTGGCCGAGGCCCTCATGCAGATTTTCTCCCTGTAGCGGATGGCACCAGGCGACCCTACAAAACTACTGTATAAAGCTGCATCCGTGTATCTGCTGTATTTTCTGTGTATTAAAAAGAATTGTATTCCTCTGATTGTTCGGTAGTTTCATTCCCTTAGTTTATTCGAATGAAACTACCGAACAACCAGACCTCCCCTGTGTGAAGTGTGTCCTCAATTACCCGTTGCAACATTGTTGCGAACGGGTAATTGAACAGTAAGTAGCCGTCCTTTGTTCTCGGGGGTGGCCGCCATTCGACAAACGAACACGTGGCGGCGGCCATTTTAAAACTCCCGAACAGCGGTGTTTTGCCGTCGAGTGTCTGGAACTAAAATCGGACACTCGAGTAGGCGAACACCGCTGAGACCTCCACAGCCCTGGTCCGTTCGGTTCCAAACTACCGAACGGCCCCTCGTTCGGTAGATAGAGAATACCGAACGAGGGGATTCAGGCGAACCCTCCCTAGCCTCTATAGCTAGAGGCTTTCGTGTATTTTATTCCCTTATGCCAGGACCGACCGCAAGGCCCATTCACATGGAACCGAATTCGGCTATCTCAGTTCGTGCGGTCGGTCATTTTATTCCCTCCATACTTTTCCCGAACCCCTGGTCTGATCTGGGTGATTTTTGGATATGTTGTTCACCCAGATCAGGGCTACCAGGGGATGTAGGATTTAAAGAGGTACCCCTACGTTTAGGGGTACATCCAGAAATGGGGGGAATTGGTGTGCTGGATAAGGGGATTATGATGCTGGCTGAGGGGAGGAGATGTGTGGGAGGTTACCAGGACAGGATTGGCTACTGTAATAATTACTGTAAATCCCTCCCTTGCATGGGAGCATGCTTTATAAGGAGACTGTGATTAAAGGCTTGTCAGTTATGCTCCTGAAACTGTGTGTCGTCCAGTTATTGGGATTGCTGTTGGGATATTGCTGTATTTTACCTGCTGGAAACCCTGCCTTTGGATTTACTATTTACTTGTTCCTGAGTCTCACTTGGATTATAAGCGGAGATAACCTGGGTAATATTGCATCTCCGCTACATTGGTTGGCAGCGCTGGGATCCAGACTCACAGAGGAACAAGCCTAAATGGAGTACGGATGGAGATTGATTTTGCCACACTAAAACGCTCCACGCTAAAAGACCTTCTGGAGGCAAAGGGTATACAAGCCAGCAATAAGACAAAAGCGGTACTTATCACTGAACTGATGGCGGAGTACCGAATGGAAGGCGATTCGGTTCCCGAACAGGGGAATTCGGGAGAAACACCGGAACAAAGGGAGTTCCAGAGGCAGGTACAATTTCGGCTGTCTTTCTATGGGGAACACCCTCCAACAGAGATTGTTTCCAAAACGATAACGGAGGTCCAGGAATTTATACTGAGGAGTCAAACAGCGGCCCCAGAACGCAGCTCTGCAGTAAATATGCCACAAGAAGGTAAGCCTAAAATACCATACCAGGCTTTTAAAACATATGTGGAGGCAGAGGAAGATATAGACGCTTTCCTGCAAGATTTCGAGAGGCTGTGTGCACTGCATAGAATCAGCGCAGAGGACTGGGTACCTATTTTGGCAGGGAGGTTAACTGGGAGGGCAGCTGAGGCATACCGGACTGTACCGAATGATGAAATACGGAATTACCACAAAGTGAAAGAAATTATATTGGCCAGGTATGCTATAACACCAGAAGCATACCGGCGGAGATTCAGGGATTTAAAGAAGGTGGAGAAAGACTCACATGCTGAGTGGGCATGCAGACTACAACGAGCAGTCTTGGGGTGGGTGCAAGCGAGCAAGGCACGGTCTATGGAGGATGTATTGCAAATGGTACTACTGGAGCAATTTTATGAAGGAGTAACCAGCGAGGTACAGGAGTGGGTAAGAGACAGAAACCCTACCTCCCTTACCGAAGCAGCCAGGAAGGCAGACGAGTACCTGGATGCACGCAGGCAGCAAAAACCTGCAGCTCCAAAAGTACATTTTAAAACCTTTGGGGGAAATAACTACACGCCAGCTCTACCAAGGTCACTGCCACCACCACCACCACCCGCTGCACAGCCACGTTTCCGCCAGCCCACGTCGGGCCCTTGCCACCACTGCCAGAAGTGGGGACATTATAAAAGGGAATGCCCCCAGCTGCGGGACCGTTCCACCTGGATCCGACCCGGTCCACCACCACCACCGAGAGCCGCCGCAGCCCATCACTACCAGGACATCGTGGCCACACCGTATGGTTCAGCAGTTCCTATCACAACAGTAGAGCAGTGGGAGGTACTGCACGAGGCAGATCCCGTCCAGGCTAACGCAGACAACCGCCAGCATCACAGGCAGACCGTGTATCTGGAGGGTAAAGCGGTTCAGGGGCTACGTGACTCAGGAGCCACCATCACCCTGGTAAAAAGTCACCTGGTCTCAGACCAAGCTAAACTGAGTAAGACTGTGGCCGTCAGGGTAGCCGGGGGAGCAGTATACCGGTGTGATGCTTTTGTGTAATGTCTCTTTAATTGGAACTCAACTGCAGAAACAATAAGTTTCACCTCCTTTATTTTATTGAAGTGAACAAGGTAGACTGTATCTTAAAATACACATGCAAGGAAAAAATGCAATGCTTATTTGTCAACAGAGAGGTTAAAGAAAATAAAATACTATAATAAATTAATATGACTTGCTTTCCTTGGCAAAAAGATTTACTTAACTTAGAAGCACTCTGGCACTGGAAGGGTTAATTCACCCGATGGAGGAAGAGGAAGGAGTCTCTTTTAACAAACTGCAGTTTAGTAATGAGAGAAAGGAAGTCCGTTTGTCCAAGCCGAGGTCTGAGAGAGGAGAAGGTACAAATCCGTTTACAAGCCGAGGTCTAAGGAGAGGAGAAGGCAGAATTCCGTTTATAAGCCGAGGTCTGAGAGATGAGAAGGTAGAATTCCGTTTACAAGCCGAGGTCTGAGAGATGAGAAGGTAGAAATCCGTTTACAAGCCGAGGTCTGAGAGAGGAGCCGGTAGCATCGAGTAGAGCAGCTGATCTTACTGCCGCACCTGAGTGAATAATCCAGCCCTTTGAATCTTGTGCGGTCTTCCTAAGTATCGTGGAAAGACCGCGTCAGAAAAAAGGGCGGAGCTAAGCGCCGTGAACCCGGAAGTGGGTTCCGGCGGCAGCATGAATGTTAGGTATACCTGACAGTACCCCCTTCTCATGGGGCATCCTCTGGGTGCACTTATTTCGGTTTAGAGGGGTAGCGTTTGTGAAAAGCATCAACTAATCTCTTTGCATGAACATTAGATGAATCTTCCCAGGTATCTTCATCAACTCCATAACCTTTCCATCTGATAAGGTATTGTAAAGAGCCACGGTGGATACGAGAATCCAAAATCTTATGAATTTCATATTCTTCTTCACCTTGGACGATGATAGGTTCAGGAGTTGTTACTATTTCTCTATGGAAAGGATCAGGGATGTGTGGTTTAAGCAAAGAGACATGGAATACTGGATGAAGTTTAAAACTTGGAGGAAGTTTTAATTTAACAACGTTATCATTGATGATTGTAGTTATTTGAAAAGGACCAAGAAAAAGAGAGCTCAATTTCTTTGAAGGACGGTTTGTGGTAATATTTTTTGAAGAGAGCCAGACAAGATCCCCCACTTTATAAGGAGGGGGAATTCTTCTTTTATGGTCAAAAAACTTTTTCTGGTAGTTTTGGGCGAGTTGAAGATTCTCCCGTAATTTAAGGAATAGAGAAGACATAAATTCATTTTTTGAAGTAACCGTGGGATTGGATGAAGAATTAGATGGGATGGGAAATGAGGATGGATGAAAACCATAGTTGGAGAAAAAAGGAGTCATTTTCGTACTAGAATGAATGGTATTATTGTAAGAAAATTCAGCCATAGGTAACCAAGTGGTCCAGTCATCTTGCAGGTATGAACAATAACATCGGAGATATTGTTCCAAACATTGATTAACTCTCTCTGTTTGCCCATTAGTTTGGGGATGATAGGCAGAAGAGAGTTTGCGTTGAATTTGAAGAGAGAGACACATCTCTTTCCAGAATTTGGAGGTAAATTGTGTCCCCCTATCAGAAATAATTTCTTCTGGAAGACCATGAAGCTTTACAATATTATCAATAAAGACTTTGGACAATTCTACGGAGGAGGGTAATTTTTTTAAAGAGATGAAATGGGACATTTTAGTGAAGCGGTCCACAACAACAAGAATAGTGGTGAACTGTCGGGATGGAGGAAGGTCAACAAGAAAATCCATAGAAATGGATTGCCAAGGTTTTTCTGGAATAGGTAAATTAAGTAGTAATCCAAAAGGTTGATTATGTTCAGATTTGGACCTTTGACAGATAGGACAAGTTTTGACATATAATTCAATGGTTCTATCTTGGCGAGGCCACCAATAATATCATGAAGTTAGTTCAAGAGTTTTCTTTATTCCAGGATGTCCAGCTAGGGGTGAATCATGAACCATTTTGAGTAATTTGTTCCTAAGAATGGGAGGAATATAAATCCTATTTTTAAAGTAAAATATACCATCCTTTTTTGTTAAATTAGGTGTTTTGGGAAGTTCAAGATCCTTTTGATTCAAGTTCCTTAAGTCATCCTGAAGAGAAGAGAGGATCCCTATTATTTTGTTAGGAGGATAAACATCAATAGAAGTTTTAGAAGGAATTCGAGAAAGAGCGTCAGCCTTTTTATTTCTAGTTCCAGGTCTGTATATTAATTGGAAGTTAAACCGGTTAAAAAATAGGTTCCATTTAACTTGTCTAACCGTAAGGGTTTTATTAGTATAAAGATATTCAAGATTTTTATGGTCTGTATAGACTATGATAGGTTGTTTTGTATCTTCTAATAGATGGCGCCAATTTTCAAAGGCAGCTTTAACACTTAATAATTCCTTTTCACCAATAGGATAATTTTTTTCAGCAGAGCTCAAGGATCTTGAAAAGAATGCGACTGGATGAAGTGGATCTTGAGGAGTCTTTTGCTGAGAAAGAACTGCTCCGATAGCTGAATCTGATGCATCGACTTCTAGGACATACAAGAATGTTGGATTAGGTAGCTGTAGAATAGGTGCAGTTGTAAATCTTTTTTTTAAACTATCGAAGGCAGCTTGTGCATTCTTTATTCCATTTGAAAGGACGTTTAGTACTGTTAAGGTGGTTAAGTGGATGTGATACCTCTGAGTAGTTTCTAATGAATTTTCTATAGAAGTTTGCAAATCCAAGAAATCGTTGCAATTCTTTTGTAGTAGTAGGAGCGGGCCAGTTAATAATACATTCGATTTTAGAGTTATCCATTTTCAGAGAATGAGGTGAAATAATGTATCCAAGAAAGGAGAGTTCAGTAACTTCAAAAAGACATTTCTCTGGTTTAGCGTATAATTTGTGAGTTCTCAATCTAGATAGAACCCATCTTACATGCTTCCTATGCTCATCCAAGTTGTTAGAATATATTAGAATATCATCTAAGTAGATAATACAAACATCCAAAAGATCTCTAAAGATATCATTTATAAAATGTTGGAATGTTGCAGGGGCATTACAAAGCCCAAAAGGCATCACTAGATATTCGTAGAGACCATATCTAGTCCGGAAGGCGGTCTTCCATTCATCATCCTGTTTTATTCTAATGAGGTTATATGCGCCTCGGAGGTCGAGTTTAGTGAATATAGTTGCATGGTTATTTTATTTAAGGCTCTGTAATCTATAATGGGTCGGATGGTTTGGTCCTTATTCCTCACAAAAAATATACTAGAGGCAGCCGGTGAAGTCGAGGGTCTGATGAATCCTTTACGTAAATTTTCATTAAGATATTCTTTTAAGGTCTGCAATTCCTTTTCAGAAAGTGGATAA